TGACTTTTATAAATAAAAGTCTTCCTGTAATAATGACCAAAAAACATAAAGGCCCGTCCACATAGAACTTTGGCGTTGCGTTGGCGTTGGCGTCGCTTCAACAGCTGACTATGAATACATGAATTCAAATGCAGCCGTCCACATAGCCAAAATTCGACAACGCTCACGCCAACACAAAGCAAAAAGATGGCCAACTCTCAAGTTTTCGCGTGCGTCGCTCGTCAGCTGTTGCAAATAAATAAAATTATGTGAAATATTTTTCCTTTTTAATCAAGTGCGAGCAAGAAATATCGTTTTTAATGCAATTATTGATATGAAATATTAATTTATCTGTCGTTAGTATGTTAATTTAGTGGCCCAAGGATTCGCTGCCAAGCGTTCATTGTAGCAAGCATACTTTTAACGTGCGTTCTGTCAAACCAACGCCAACGCCGAAGCCAACGCGAAAGTTCTATGTGGACCGGCCTTAAGGAATAAAGCGCAAAGGCACATTAACGTTAATTTCAAAGCTTAAATGGTAAAGTTATAAAAAAATGAAACGTCCATAGCTAAGCTGCGAACCGCTATTTGGGGTATGTCCAAGATACAATATTTATCCAAAAATTAAAATTCACATACTTACATATCAACATAGATACACACATACGTATGTCTCAATCACAGTTCAAAACTCGTTTCTTTCTGCAAATGCTCATACTTATTATGCATACCAATTCGCCACAGTACAAAAAAGCAAAAAAAAATCCACAATTCTTTATCTACTTCTAGCAACGATTAGTCACAAAATAAATGGCCGATAGGCAATTGACAGCTGATCGCTGATTGTTAATGCTTGGCTGCCATTTGTAATCTATGCAAATTATGCGTGAATAAATTTCATCAATGATCGTTACGAAGCACTTAGGCAAATTGAGGCGCAGTTGAATTAGAGTTATTTGGTTATAGTTTTTATATTCGTTTGGAGCTGCATGTTGCACGTACAAGTATGCATATGTGTGTCAACAGCGCCAAGGCGAGTTGTTGCAACATGGCGTTACACTCCCCTCATCCTCCCCTCCCCAATCTACAGTTGGTTGGTTAATGTGTATCAATA